CCAGTTCAGCTCGGACGAAACGTAAAGATAAACTAAACACGGAGAAGCTGGTAGGTCTTCAGCTGAGGATAAAATTTCGTCTGAATAAAAAACTTCCTGGATTTCAGGGCACATGCGGCACAATTTGCAACAGATTTGAGTGGTAAAAATGTCTAAAACAGTTCGATTTATGGCGGTTGCAAAGAGAAAGGTAAAATAAGTAGGTGTGGGCTGCTAGACTATCTAAGTGACAGGAAGAGATCGAGTGTGATGATGATGACAAAAAAGTAGAGCACACTTTATGTTCGAGCTTCTAAGAGAACTTACCATTTCTGTTTCATCTTTATTCCAGGCTGAGTTTAGGCGTCTCACTCGCGTACTTATTCCGGTTTTAATAAGGTAACTGATTTCTTTAATAACAATAAACGACTTTACTTTGTTGCACCGTCTGAAATTGGCACACCATTGTCAGTAGCGTCCACTTCACTAATAAAATCCTTATACAGCTACGTATTCGAAAGAAATGAGGTGCAGGTAGCATACCGGTTTAAATACCGCTTCCAAGTCCTCATCGGAATTCAACTTCCCAGCAATCTCGGTAATTACTCTTTTACCAAAGTGCGCATAAATGAGACCCGCACTGCTCAATTTCACGGCTGGTTCCAGCTTAGGATGGAAATCCTTTATAGTAAGGTTAAATGATCTAAACAGCGAATGCATACAGAAATTGGAAACAGTTGTGTTTTAAATTACGGCTGATGATGGTCAAAGCGATTAGTGGCCGCGTCGAAAATGTCGCCAGCATCAACGAGAATATTGCAATTGACCAGTTTTTGCACATCCCGGTAGCGCATTATGTATGCATTTTTGTACTCTGGGAGTTGTTTAAGCATTGCAATTGCCAACACTTCATCACAGTGAAAAGCACCATTGTGGGTCCCAATCAACATTCTTTCCATTTGGGGACGGTTTCCACCCGGCGACTGCAATTTAAAAAAATTAAACCCACCTAATTCGTTTGATTAAAAAAATGTACAGAAATACAAGAGAGTTGAGGAACAAAGAGCAGCACATATAAAAAACACGTTTTGAGCCGAAGTTTAACCCGTTCTATGTTTCATCGGGCGGAATAAGTTAATACAAGGGTGGCAACTGCGCTTGGTATGTTACAAGACAATGACGGTAGGAAATAGTACAGTGACTTTCATAAAATAATTCAGACATTTTTGCGGGTTTTTGGTACTATGATCCGATAAGAACAACCACACAGGAGAGCTCAGTGCTGAGGACCGAAAGTTTGAGGGCCATTAATTATCTCCATATTTTTGCGGACCGCTCAGCGCGGTTTAAGAGTAATATTCCGTTTACTTCTGCCATGCGAACGACAGCTACAAACGAAGCGTAGCAGCATATAATTCGTTAACTTCAATAGGGACGAAGTGTTTAAACCACCTCAATCGCACTTTTAGATGTCATTTTGTACAAAGTATGCTTGTAATGAAAATTTGGAACAGGAAACATTCAAATCGACAATCATTATCTGTGAAAAATGTCTTATCGGGTTTAGTACTGCAGATCAAATCGCTATCAAAACAAATGTGGGTAAACCGCTTGATTGAGTAGCGTCATTCACCTCCTGAATATACACCAAGAGGAGTATAATTACTTAAAGCCAAAACGCGGTAACATCAGTCTAGCGCAGCTACGGTTAATCATTTGCAAAATCCAGCCAACGAAGAAATCAAAATGAATGGGTGGCAGAATGCAGTTTTAAGAAAACTAGACTAAACAGTGACGATTATAAACTAAGTCTGAGAGCCTCACTAAAACTCGGGCCTTTTGATTGTTTTCCTTCAGTTTCTGTTTGTCCACCATCCACGCAGCCCGAAGTTTGCCAACATAAAGAGTCAGTACCCGATTCACGAATGTTTATGTTTTATCTTGAATAAACGTCTGTGAGTAACAATTTCTGCCCTCATAGCAAAATTGGCACAGTGCTCTTAAAAAGTGCATCCACCCGCGTCAATGGCTGTGCTAGGGAATCTTAACGTTTATCCATTATTCTTTGCCGAAACTGTCCCCCTGGCGCAGCCGCCTCGTGGGTGGCACTGAGGACGTAGGCCGACGAGTAGGTGGGAAATGCATGGACTTACGAACTGTGGACACTAGCATTTCACTGCCTATTTATGCAAATTAATTTGCATAAATAGGAAGAATCCTATTTTTTAAACTTGTAGGATTCCCGTAGAATTCCCGTAGGATCCCACTTGCTATTAGGGGCGTTGGCTTGGCTAAAAGGCCACAGAATGCCGCGAGTTTTTTCACAATTGGGTCAACTAAATTAACTAAATCTGCCAAACCAACTATATAAATATATTTATCTAAATTTACTACAACGCGCGCGCGTTGGTAGAGCGCAGCGCTCTACCCACTCCCTAATAGCAATTTGTAGACCTGTGGACCTGTAAATTCATGCACACACAATATCTCACTTTAATTGGCTGAAAATTATGCGCAACGAT